ATGTCTCAAATAATGCCCAACCCATTAAGAAAGAAAAATAGGCAGGAAAAGGAAAAGAAAGTGCTCAATATACTACTTCGAAAACCCTCCTAAAATAAACATTAAACAAAATGGAAGTTCTCACCTATTTTACTGTGTGCCACTGCAAACTCAGCTCCTAGTGAGAGCCCACTGATTGCACTAACAAGCCCCCTTTTGCTCAAGAGGAAGGTAACCTGCTCTTTAGGATTAGAAGAGTCAGTATGAAGAACAAATACCTGATCAGTGAAAAATTAAGGTCCCTTCGTGTCCTATGCTTCTAAGGCTCAACTAAAATACTTGTGCAGGCTTTCTTCACCTTGTGTTTCGATTACTGCAACACCCTTTTCTCTGGCCTTGACAAATGCCATCATGCCCCGCTCATATCCATTCTGAATGTTGCTTTAAAGATAATTTTCCCAGCCTATCATTTTCACCATGTCAATCTTCTCTTTGCCACCACTTCATTATCACATGAAACAAGCTGCTTGTCTTCCTTTTCAAGGCCTTTCATGGCCTATCCCCACCTTTCTATCATCTCTCATTCACTATCAAGACATCGACTCCCACCTCTAATTGCCCATGATGCCAGCCTCCATTGCCCGCTTGCTAAGATCTGCAAGCAAGCAGACTTTTTTGTGTTTTTTCCCATGCTTCCCCTGACACTTGGAGGAGTTCCCCATAAACCTCAGCATACCCCGTAAACATAAACCATAAACCAGCAAACATCAGTAGTTCCCCATAAACATAAAGCTACCTCATTATCCTCCTCAAAACTCTTCTCTGCCATGATGCCTAAAAAAATCTTCATAATGGTTAGGCCACCAGTGAACTGAGATCACTACATTTCATGATGACCAATACTGTCTCAATGTTTCCTTGTATTCGCCTGTCTATATTTATTTGTTGTCTCTTGTTAATACTTAAACTATAAACTCTTTGAGGCAGAGATTGTCTTTATTCTATCTTTGTACAATCCCTAGCACAATGGTTCATGACTTGGGTTCCTAGGTTCTATGAGAATATAATCACCACCCTGGCTTACTCTTACCACAATTTTTCATTTCCAGTACAGATCTGATCATCATCTAAGCAGTATCACATCCTATATAAAAAGTGTACAGGATTTTGAAATTAAAGATGCAATCTAGAGCTGATCTTGATCCTAAGCCTCAGATCCAAACAATCCCAAACTTCGAGGAAGTTTGGATCCAGAACTCAGCAATGGAGATAACAATTATCTCCATGATGGGACAAATCAATGCCTCAGATCTTAACATCCCCTAACTTTGGCAAAGACGTATCCAAACTGTGTGGCTTGATCCAAGCCCATCTCTAGTTAACACCACATAGAAAACTAAAATAACTGTAAATCTTTCCATGCATTTAGAAGGTACTATTATTGATTATGCCACTAAAACGTAGTTTTAGGTTAATGTTAGGGAAGGGAGAGTGTCCATGGGAAACTGTGCTCAAGATCTATCCGATTGCTTTGTCATAAGTGAAAAATGACATTTCAGTTTCCTTTCCTCCATTCACTCATAGGACGGTTGCATATGAGCAAAGTCAATGGACTAGCATTCATGGTTGCAAGGGGCACAGTCACATTCAGATAATGAGATGTTTCATAAGGTATTGTTGTTTTTTATAAATTAATCATGACTTCTTAATTTTACTACTTGACAGCTTTTATCATTTTTTCCCATCTTTCCCAGAAAGAAATTGGACTGAAGTACTGGGAAAAGCCTTGCCTTGTAGATAAGAATCTAGTCTACTTGGAGTTTCTGTCTGAAAGTAAAGGGGAAATTAAAGGTGATAGACAGTTAAAAATCATAGTATACTCATGAATCCCACTAGAATACAGCCATGAGAGCAAAAGTCTTATGGAGTATTTGACCATTTAAAAATAAACTGCTATTTAAAAACAAAAACAAAAAAACCTATACAAAGCAGGATATAAAACAGATTGTTGCTGGCTTCAAGCTTCTAGAATGGGTGTTTTATTTTCCTGAAGACAACCCTTCCAAAATGTTGGTTTTCAAAGCTTACTTGAACAAGTAGTTTTATGTTCCATCCTGAAGCATAATCCCTAAAGCCTTAAAGGATGGCAACTCCACAAGGCTTTCCCTTTCTACTCCAATGCATTCAATTTTCCGAAAACTGCCTGTGTCCCCATCTTTTATTTAGTTCAAGGTAACATCTAAATTAAAAACTGTAAGCTTTAAATTTTTTCAAGTCTTCAAGTACACTGAAATTAATCAATGGCTTGTGTCTATAACCTAAATATTCCTAAAACCCTTAAGATATCTGCTCTAGTTGGAGGGGTTTTGTTTGTGTTTGTTTGTTTGTAGGGTGTTTTTTTTTTTTTTGGGTTGATTAGGAAAAAAGCTAAGAATTCTTTTAAAACCATTTGAAGCATATCTGGACAAGTTTTATTATAATAAAATAAATTACTAAGTAGCAGTCTGTGATGCTGTATGATTGGAACATGACCATTAATTAATATTGCCGCTGTCAGACAATTGCAACAAATCTTGAACAAAGTATATCATGTAAGGTATCAATGGAAAAGTTATGACTTGCTGAGTATGATTATCCTGTTTATATGCATGTATAATTTTTGCATCTGAAGTTATGAATATTGGCTACATAGACCTATATTTCAAACATGTTTGCTCCTGGGATAACACCCACAAGGTAATTTATATCCAGTCTGGCCAGCACATTGATGGCCCTTTAAAGAACACTTACTCTCATAATGGGCTATAGAAGAAGATTGTCCCACCCAGTAGGCTTCCAGTGGATGCTTTAGCCAAAATATGGGTAATGGCTGCTTCTATGAGTTATCAAAGCATACAAGGGCATGTGACTTGCTCATGTGACCCTGGATTCCATCTTGTGCCTGTATTTTTTCCACAAACTAAGACTGAGGCTTGGTCTACACTACCCCCCCTAATTCGAACTAAGGTACGCAACTTCAGCTACGTGAATAACGTAGATGAA